ATTAAATGAAATAACTTTAAATTTATTGTTTGAGTTGAAGGGAACAGATATGAGAGAAAAAGGTTTTTTTATTTGGTTATCAAAAGATTTTTTTTATAAAAAAAATATAGTTGTATTAATAATTGAAACACAATATGCAAACTATACCTTACCATATAAGTTAAGCAGGAAAAAGATTAGAATGGACTTATGACACTAACATATAGAGTTAAATATTTCATACAAATAATAACAATTAAAAACTAAAAACTTTTAAATATTAATATATGTTATAAGGGTAACAATAGAATTATGCAAAAACATAAAAAAAATGTATTAAAATTTACTAACGTTACTGACAATCACATCTATTGGAGTACCCAAACCTAATATGAGAGATCAAAGCTTACTAACGTTACTGACAATAATCACATCTATTGGAGTACCCAAACCTAATATGAGAGATCAAGTGATGTAGTGTTTTTCGGCACTACAATAAACCCATCCATAATTGATATTTTATCCCGCAGATGGATGAAAATTATCCACCTGCATGGTCAAAGTAGTGCCATCAACAGCCCCACGAATCATATCCACTCATGTATTATTTAACAGGACCTTATTAGCCCTTTGTTCCGCCAAACTTGCTGTATTACCCTTTCTTTTTCCTTGAGTAAGTTTTTCCATATGCACCGAGGACCCCACCTCACACTCTATTCGTTTCCATTTGCCCCTACCTCCTTTTGCTCCATTTCGTGCCTTGGTAACTGTTCAATACCATCAAAACCAAGGGCTAAGGGGATCTCCACTAATCGGTCACTCATCAAACCTGGCAAACCATCAACATGTTCCATATTCCCTGCCGAGGCCATTTCTCTTACAGTAGTAGGAAGGGGCTGAACTGTTTCATCTGCAATTTCTCCCACACCAATAGCATTGTGCCCTTCCATTTGGCTTGCATTGCTGGTCACGTTATTATTTGCCTCCAGATCCCAGCAGCATGATCATTATGTCCTTCTACCTGGCTTGCAACATTAGCTATAGTCTCATAATGCTCCTGGTTTCCTGCAATCTTATCGCCGGCTAGAGACTCTGTAGTTGCAATAAAGGTTTCATCCAAAAGATCAAGATCATCTGGGCACCATGAGTGTTCCAATTCAGCCTTCAACCATGAGAACAATTTTACTTCCCCATCTTTGATACTGTTGGCTATTTCACAGCTATTGTCTAGGTGGCCTACGCAACCACAGACAAAACAGAACTTCGGAAGTCATTCGTATTTGATCCGAAGTTTGTTGCGCTCAGTAGCAGAGATTTGAGAAGTTTTAAATCTTCTTAAAGGCTGATTCACATCAATCAATTCTAACTCTGATTGCCTTGTGAAAACTGTCGTCAAATTCCAGTACCTTCCCCAAACAGTTCCCAATTGTGAATCCAATTTGCTCTGACTGCATACCAATAGGGACATCAAAGATTCGAACCCAATAGGTAGTGAATTGCTGAAGTTCCAACGTCCTCTATGTAGAGCCTTGTTGAGATCCCAATCTCAGTAAATTGAAACAGATAAATTTTTTCGCCAATCTCAGAAATTGTAAAAGGCTTCCTAGGGTTCCAAGAAACCATCAACGCATCATGCAGCCCATTCATATTGATCTTTTTGCGGGATAGGATCTTCCCCATTAATCTCAGTTTTTCGACCTTGGGTTCATCGAGTTTCCAGATCGAGTGCAAGGGAAGGATACCGTTCTCATCTTCTGAAAGACGGACCCGATTAAGCATACACCCAATTTCTTCATCTGCCATTCGTATTGACACCCACAACCACCAGCAGAAAGGAGAGTAAATCGTCACCCAGGACCTGATCTGCAGCCTTTTGGATCCATGTTGCTCTCGTGCCCCTGTTCTAAAGCACTGCAAACAGAGTAAAAGAGAAAACCTGAGGAAGGGGAATCCGGTATATGTGAAAGGAAAGGGAGATGTCGGGAAACAATAGGGAAGAGAAGGGAAGATGGCTCGACAATCGGAGAGGGACCCGAAGGAGAGATCCCGCCGTCACCAAAGCCCTAAATTTTTAGAGCATGGGGGAAGTTTTAAATTTTTTTTTTCTAACTAAAACAATTTTATAAATTTAAGTTTTTGTAGTGGTTATAAAAAAGAATTAGAAGGAAAGAATGAGAAGAATTTCTTTTATTATATATATATTTAAATTTATTTATTTATCTAAATAAAAAGATTAAA